ATTCATTAAAGAGTTTGACTCAGCCTGGTGAGATGCCAGTGTTTTAACCTCCAAGCTATGTGTCGTCTAGTTCTTAGGAGAAAAGGATTGTAACTACGCTACCTGCATTTTACTTACATTTGACCTGCTTCATCCTGCCTACCAGCGGAGTTACCGTGGATAATACCACTACTCCGCTACAATCTTTACTTAGTATTAGTAAATGTGGCTGAAAGACCAATTTAGGTGACCTATTTAGGTCTTTCAGCCTTTTGGTAGATAGCTCCCTAATACCGTGGGAAGTAGGGAGTTATCTACTAAGCGGCTGTTATTTTGTTATTTTTAAGTGATTTCCCTATGCACATTTGTTTGCAGGGCACTTGTCCTACTCCTACCCCCATTTTACTTCCTTTTGCAGCCCTCTAGCCCTTTCCAGAAGTTTTTTAGAGCCATTTTTGTGGCCAAAAGTTTGGGGTCAAGTTCAAGGTCAAGTTCGAGCCCGAACTCGGCGGACCCGAACATCCAGGTGTCCGCTCAACTCTATTGATGATACAATTATTGCATTTAGAAGCCTTCAGAGCTTTTCTACAAATTAATTACATTAATATACTCAAACATTCAGATTGTCAAAACTATAAGTATTTAGGCAACATATGATGTTTGTATTTTTGCAGCTTCATTCCTCAATTCATGTTTATATTTATTTAATTTTAAGATACAACTCAAGACTAATCTACTTGCATACTATGGAAGGGTTTCTATTCTCTATCGCACCATACAATTCACTTATTTTCTTTTAAACCAATCTCAGAGTGATGTTTGATTGGCATGAGATGTCACAGTGAAAAGATCTATGGTCTACCTTGTTTACAAAGCAATCTAAAAATTTGGTACAGTACCATGTATAGTTCGTTTTATGGACATCTAACTTACAAATTAGATGTCCATACGAATTGAAACACAATCTTGAGAGTCCTGTCTTACTTTTCTCTCTAGTATTAAAGATACTACGACTGCTGGATAAATAAGTAAATTCTATATTTCCTAAACGTCTGGCATCATTAGCAAATTTTGAACTATATTATATCAGATTTTGGTGTGTTGTGTCCATCTGTAGTCTCAGGTCATGTAAGGTTCTATTCCTGTATCTAATCAATGGTAATTTTTTTTTTCTTATATAATTCTTTATATTAAAAATAATAAGAACAAAACTTAAGATATGGAGGGAAGAAAACATTTATTCCCAGTAAGCTGGTAGTGCAGACAAAATAATGTAAATGTATATGTAGGCTCTCTCAAGTTCCACTAGAAATACTGGATTATACAAAATATTATAGGTAAAACCCAAATTGAAATAATAGAAAGGGGTAAAGGGTGTGGAGCGGAGGGGATGAGATGGCAACTATGGATATGGGTAGGAAAAAATGGAGATGGTTATTTCAATATACATGCCCAGAGTGGTGTTGCTAAACCTGAATGATGCTCCCTTCCGATGCATCTGTTGCATTTGTAAGTAGTGTGTGGGGGGTGGGAGGGATGATTGGTAGAAGTGTAAGACAAAGTAGGTGTGAAGGAGATCAAATATGTACAAGAGTGACAGTGAAATAAAAAGAGTGTTATAGAAGTAAAGGAAAGCAAAGATAGGGCTAAGGAGAAAAGACAGAAGTAAGAGTGTGTCTGAGTCATGCAAAGGAAGGGATAGAGAATGTGAGGGAGTAGCAATATCCATATAGAAAAAGTCAAACGTGTATTGTCTCAAATTTATTTTGTGTACTTACTTGGGTGTATCATGTATTTGAGCAGTCAACCTATCCATGTATGAAGCTTTCTTAGTTTTTAGAATGTCCATAGCAAAAGTGGTAATTTGGCTATTGGCCCTCAGTTCTCCAAAAGCACTATGGGGCAGCTAGGTCAATTTGGGCAGCTAATATGTTCTCGGGTCTCATAAAGGAGTCAGGTTTGGATAATACAAGTTCCCAGGCATTTAACAAGTAAGGTTTCATAAAAATATGTGAGAGCAGGGAATTGATTCAAAGGTTTCGAACACAGGTTGATAGGGAAACTGCAAGTTTTTGCCAGTTGTAGGGGGGTATATACTATATTTTATGTGGATGGACCTTCTCTCACACATATGGTGAGAAAAAGTAGAGCATGCACTAAAGAGGTATAGAGGACTGAGACTTGACCTTTTTGAGTTTGTTTGAAGGGTGTGAGATGGTTTGTGTCTGTACAATTGTTGAGGAAGCTAAGCTACAAAGTTACATGTACTGAAAATGATCAAAGGTAGTGATAGTGTCATGAACTGGGATATCAGTGTAGGCAAACACTTAAAGGGACACTATAGTCACCTGAACAACTTTAGCTTAATGAAGCCGTTTTGGTGTATAGAACATGCCCCATGCAGCCTCACTGCTCAATCCTCTGCCATTTAGAAGTTAAATCTCTGTTTATGAACCCTAGTCACACCTGCATGTGACTTGCACAGCCTTCCATAAACACTTCCTGTAAAGAGAGCCCTATTTAGGCTTTCTTTATTGCAAGTTCTGTTTAATTTAAGATTTTCTTATCCCCTGCTATGGTAATAGCTTGCTAGACCATGCAAGAGCCTCCTGTATGTGATTAAAGTTCAATTTAGAGGTTGAGATACAATTATTTAAGGTAAATTACATCTGTTTGAAAGTGAAACCAGTTTTTTTTTCATGCAGGCTCTGTCAATCATAGCCAGGGGAGGTGTGGCTAGGGCTGCATAAACAGAAACAAAGTGATTTAACTCCTAAATGACAGTGAATTGAGCAGTGAAATTGCAGGGGAATGATCTATACACTAAAACTGCTTTATTTAGCTAAAGTAATTTAGGTGACTATAGTGTTCCTTTAATTATGAGAATAAAGGTGTAACAGTCTGAGAACCAGTGTTAATTATACAAGCAGTTGATATGATATTGTTAATGAAAGTGTTGGATAACAAGACTTTCCCTGATTACCTGTCAAACAGTTTGCAAGTGTCAAAATGTAACATTCACACATGACTGCATCCAGACATGTGCAAGTCTCTAGAGGTCTTTGGAGACCACCGTTCACTGCTGTTAGAGTTTGGTTATGGAATATTACACGTTCTGTATATAATATTAACAGCTGACAGCAATCGTAGAACTTGCATAGTACAGGTGCGGGCTACCTCTTTTATTATTTGACATGATAAGCACAAATCCCCAAAGATGGAGCAGGTAGATGTAAATGGAATAAAATTACAGAATAAACAGTTTCTCTGTATATTTGAAATATTGAAATTGTTTTTACATCTTATCTTTTTATAGGAAATTGTACAGTTTTTTTTAAAGACACAGTAGCTTTAAAAAGACACATACAATTTGTATATATCGGTTTTTAATAAAACATTACAAACATTGGACTCTGTTGCTATAAAGATAATCTCTATATCTTGAGGAGACAATTACCCCACAACAATCTGTGTGAACACCGCATTAAAGGACAATTGTCACCTCAAAACTATCTTTTGATATGATAATCCTTTAATCAATTTTGAAAGGAAATAGATTTTTTTTAAATGTAAGTATATGTAAAAAATAAGGCAAACTGATCCTTACCTTTAGACCGTATCATTCAGCCATATACATACACCTTGGGTCAGACACTACTTGGAAACTGACAGTCTCTATGGCATCCCTTGCTTCGCTCCGTGCACAGAAGCAGTGAAGACTATAGAGACTAACTGTTGATATTTTATTTTTTTTGCCAAATGCAATTTTTATTGTGAATGCAAAATACACAGCATACATGGAAGCATCAATCATAGACAATGATACAATTATAATAAAAATGGTGATAATACAGTTGGCGTATCTAACATTCACTTTTCCCAGAAAAAACAACATGAAAACTGAATAAAGAAAAACGTAACTCAAACGTGCAGTCCTATTATAGTGTTAGTAAGTCACAGTGTGTGTGGTGACTACATTGTCCACGCGGCCGATCACTAGGTTTTAGAAAGGGAAGGCACATCCCATCTGAATGATTAGATATAGAAGAAATTATTAAAAAAGGATATAATGTTGAGGGGTGAAAAATGTTCGACTGGGAATTGAGGAAGAGATGAGTGTACTTCTCCAAGGTACCTGGTTGTTCATCTGGGGCAACATCTATTGTGTAATGCTGCTTTCTAGACCATAGGGGGAAGTCTATGGGGGGAATAGTAAGCATAGTGTAGAGTCTTGAGAAACATGTCCTTATATGTGACCATAGGTAATGACTGACACTGAGTATGATGTGTAAGAAGTATGTCCGCTGGACCTAAATTTGATAAATTAGACTTCCATTTTCCAAGTCACTTTTGGAGATTGTTCCAATCTGGAGTGTATCGTATTATCATATAAAGTGTCAAGATTGAGTAGGAGGTCCTGGTAGAAGAGCACAGCAGTGCCTCTATGGGGTTTTCCCAGTTTGTGGTCGTGAAATTCTGTGTAATAGTCAAATAGTAGTATCGCATCTGAAGGTAAGCAAATCATGGGAGTTGAAGGCCTGGGAAGCGTTTCATGAGTTCCGCCAGTGTAAAAAATGTTTGTGCATTGTGATCAACAAAGGATCGGAGAGCCGTGATCCCCTGCTCGGCCCACAATGGAAAGGGGTAGTCATTGCCCGGAGGAAAATCAGGGTTGTGAAGGAGTGGTATGTGTAATGAACGCATTCTGTATATAGTATTAACAGCTTACAGCAATCGTAGTTTTGTTTCCAGGACCTGGATCGGGTTTGTTTACAGGCCCTAATGGGAGTACCTAGGAGGGGGTTCGACAGGATGGAAGGAGTTGATGTTACCTGTGAAGTAGGGCAGTCAAAGAGTCCAGTAGTGCCAGAGAGGAGTCAAATCTAGGGTTGCTACGACTGCTCCTGTTTTCTAAATCATCCAGCTTGTCCTGAAGAGAGGTCAATGTGGTGTGTTGTTGTTAAATTGTGGATTGGAGCTGGTGCAGCTCATCCTCTGTGGTGCTCTGTCTTGATTTCAACAGCGTGAGTTGAGAGGAGTGAGTGTGAAGAAGATGAAGGGCACTGTCGACTGATTTCTTGAGACCCTTAAATTGAGACTCAAAGATTGGTTTGAGAAGGTTGGAGACTTCCCTTGCCATCTCAGAAGCATGTTGTGAAATAGAGGCTGCTTGGAAATGCAGTTGAGAAGGACCCTCCTCCACCTCTGAATCTGTTGGAGAGAAGTTTGGCGTGGAGGGAGGTGCAGGTTCCTTAAAATGTGGCTTCTTGGCCTGTTGTTGTGGCTTACCCTGGGACCGTTTAGAAGGAGCTTTGTCAATAAATTTGTCCATGATGGTTGAGCAGAGACAAAGAACACAAGAGGAAAGGCCAGTCTATGGAAAGAGGTAGGAATATGTAAATGCTATTTTAGTGGAATCCTGTGAGAACGGTCAGAGAAAATGACCGCAGTAGGTAGGGTATGTGAATAGTGCAATCAGCTGTGTGAATGTCGTGGATTTTCTGATGTAAATGGTTAGTGGAGTTGGAGGTGACGTGGTGAGGGAAATGTCAGAGGGAGCAAGATGACTGGGGTGAGAGGAGGATGGAATTCAGAGCAAAGTGAAGTAAAGGAAGAAGGAAGTAAAGCAAAAGATTGGAGAGGAAAAACAGAACAGCCAGAAAAATGACCTGGAACAGGGTCAATAGTGATGTGACAAGCTGGAAGATGGAATCCATTGACAGGTGATAGACTGATGACAGGTAGCAGAAAATACCCTTAAGGATTGAAATGTGAAGCAGGGTATGTATATAGAATTCAGGCCTTTACAATGGCATAGGAATCCGGAGAAGTGACAAATTCTGATACCACGGCCACTCGAGCATCCGGGAATGTGCACTGCAGCTAGAGCTGAGCCTGGGGAGTCCAGTGAAAAATCACTTAATAAATTGGTGTCACCAATAACTGACAATATTATGATAAACAGAGGTATGGTAGGAGGAAAAGTACAGTTCTGCAGGGAGTGCGTGGACGTGGCAAGCAGTACATTATTGTATCCCTGAGCAGCTTGGTGGCCCCTCATGCATGCTGGCAGAAAAGCAGAAAATCCAGTAATAAAGCATGCAAAGTGTAGTAAACTGTATAGTTCATGCAGGCAGCACTCTAATCAATTCCAACCAACATGAAAATATAAGAAGCAAATATAAGAAGCAAAAGCGTATCAACTAAGGTATGTACAGCAGAGCCAGCTTTGCTACAGGAAATAAGTTCAGGCAGTAGGTGACAGTATTGTATGAGAGACTGGCCTGTGAGACACAGTTCATTAGAGTGGCACAAAGCAGTGCAGGGGAGACAGAGAAGTCAGCAGTAGGAGTCCTGAGCTGATATGAGGCAGGTATCACTACTCACGGTTGGCTGAAAAGGAGCAGTGAATTGCACTGCAAGCACCTCTTGTGGCACCTCTCCACAGGCATTGTGAGTGTTCCCAAGGCCACCTCTGCTCTCTGACACCGACCCTGGGTGTATGAGGCCGATGTCCCTGATGCAGGCCGCAGTGTGGTGTATGCTGGTGCAACCTATCACATAGACCTCGACTTCCAGCAGGTGCCTGTGACATTTTGAGGCTATTCTGACATCTTCCCAAACCTCAGATGGCACCCTCTGACTGCCCGGGAGCACACAGTGCAAGAGCACCCCCTGGAACCTGTCAGCATGGCCCCAGAGTGCTGGATTGCTATTGATTGTGGAGGTGAGTTTCAGAGCTGGGGTGAAACGTGGCCGGCTAAAATTGTGGAACCAGAACAAACTGTTGATTTTTAAACACTGTCGGACCCTCACCTAGTATTATTCATGCTTATTCTGCATTAACTCCGCCATTGCTGGTACCAAGGGCGGATGAAAAAGGAGGAGGGTTGGGCATGGGGCTAACAACCTCGCTCTGGAAAAACCTCAACCACTACAGAAACGCCAAAAAGAGAAACAGAAACTAACTTCCCGGAAGATGGAGGACCTCCGATAATTCGAAGATGCATGATGATAGGTGGTGAAAGCCGAAAGAAAGCCACTGAGCCAATTACCCTTCTTTCGACCAGGAGAACCCAAGAGTTACCGAGATGAAGAAGAACAACCTGACCATACTGGACATCAGTGAAACCAGATGAACACAAGCAGGACAGAGGAGACTGATGACAGGAGAGCTGTTGCTGTACTCTGGGCAGGAAGAGAGTGACGCACCCCACATGTAGGGAGCTGGCTTTATGTTGTCCACGCAAGCACAAAGGTCACTGATTGGATGGGAGGCGCACGGTTCCATAATCATCACAGCATCCTTCAGAACCAAGCAGAAGAAGCTTACGCTAAACACCATCCAGAATTATGCTCCAAACATGCTGATGAAAAAGACAAGGACGAGCTTTATAATAGACTGCAAAAAATCATAGAGACATTCTGAGCCAGAGACATTGTTGTCCTTATGAGAGACTTCAACGCCAAGATTGGACATGACAAGGCAGCATATGAACAAGTCATAGGGATATACCGGCTGGGAGTGATCAATGATAGATATGTGAAATTGTGTGCGCTCAACAACCTGGTTATCGGAAGTAGCATTTTTCCTCACAAGCGGATCCACAAAAACACCTGGGTATCACCAGATAGTGTGACAGAGAACCAGATTGACCACATCTGCATTAGCAAGAGGTTTAGAAGATCTCTGCAGGACATTAGAAGGGGAGCAGATGTGGTGTCCGACCACCACCTAGTGGTAGCCAGCATGCAGCTGAAGTTAAAGAAGAACTGGAGGGAAACAATATAGTGTAGAGAGAAGTATGATGTCAGCCACCTAAGGATCACCAGCATCAGAAGGGAGTTTGGACTTCAGTTGAAGAACAAGTTTGAGGTGCTACATGAGCTGCATGACAAAGAAGAAAGAAGCAGTGTACAGGCCAGCTGGCAGACAATAAAAGAAACTGAGAACAGCCTGTCGAGAAGTGGTCAGAGCAAAGAAACATCACCACAAAGAGTGTATCACAGCTGAGACCTTGGGCAAGATAGAAGAGAGAAAACAGAAGAAGGTGGCAGTAAATAACAGCAGGACTAGGGCAGAAAAAGCCAAGGCCCAAATGGAATATGCAGAAGCCCGCAGAGTAGTGAAGAAGAGCATTATGAAGGACAAGAAATACTACAAAGATGGACTGGCAGCTGAAGCAGAACAGGCAGCACACAACAGCAACATGAAACAGCTGTACGACACGACTAAGAAACTGTCTGGGAAGTACAGCAAGCCAGAACGACCTGTCAAGGACAAGGAGGGAAAGGTTATCACAGGACTAGCACAGCAGATGAATAGATGGTCTGAACACTTTGAGGAGCTCCTGAACAGACCAGCACCACCAAATCCACCAGACATCAACCCAGCCAACAAAGATCTCCCCATCACCTGCGGCAAGCCAACTAGAGAAGAGATCGGGAAGGCATAACCCTAATGAAGGCAGCTGGACATGATGACATACCAGCAGAAGCTCTGAAAGCAGACCTGAAATCATCAGTGGAGATGCTGTACCCACTCTTCGAGAAGATCTGGAAGGAAGAAGAGATACCAACTGACTGGAAGAAGGGTAATTTATTCAAGCTTCCAAAGAAAAGTGACCTCAGTAACTGTAACAACTACAGAGGTATCACACTCCTGTCAGTGCCAGGCAAGGTCTTCAACCAGATCCTCCTAGAGCGGATGAAGGACGTTGTTGATTAAAAACTATGAGATGAACAAGCAGGCTTCTGTCAGAATCGATTGTGCATGGACCAGATTGCAACGCTGCGTATCATAGTCGAGCGGTCCTTGGAGTGGAACTCATCACTGTACATTAACTTTGTCGACTATGAGAAGGCATTTGACAATGTGGATCGAGAGGTCCTAAGGCATTACGGCACCCCAGCCAAGGTGGTCAACCTGATCAAGAGCTCATACGAGAGAATGACCTGCAGAGTGATCCACGGAGGACAGCTTACCAACAGCTTCCAGGTGAAGACTTGAGTCTGACAAGGATGCTGGTTATCCCTGTTCCTCTTCCTCATTGCCATCAACTGGATCATGAAGACATCCACCAACGATGCAGAGATTTAATCCAGTGCACCTTGTGGAGTCAACTGGATGACTTAGACTTTGCAGACGCCCTTGCACTTCTCTCCCACAGTCAGCAGTAGATGCAAGAGAAGATCAGTGTGTTGGCAGCTATATCAGCACAGGTTGGACTCATCATCCACAATGAGAAGACCAAGATCCTTAAGATCCTTAAGACCAACTTCAGCAACATCAACTCAATCACTCTAAATGGAAGTCCCCTGGAGGAAATACAGTTCTTCACCTACCTGGGTAGCATCATCGACAAGCAAGGTGGAACAGATACAGATGTCAAGGCAAGGATCGGCAAAGAGTTGCCTTCATCCAGCTCAAGAGCATCTGGGCTTTCAGAGAGTTAATCTTGACCACCAAGATCCGACTGTTCAATTTCAATGTGAAGTCAGTACTGCTGTAAGGGCTGAAACCTAAACAACAACCAAAACCACCAACAGAAGAATCCAGACATTTATCAACAGCTGTCTCAGAAGGATTCTCCACATTCGCTGGTCAGACACAATTAGTAACACCAACCTATGCGAAGGAACCTGCCAGCTTTCAGCTGAGGCAGAGACCTGGAAGAGAAGATGGGGTTGGATAGGGCATAACCTACGCAAATTGCCAACTAACCTCACCAGGCAGGAAAGAGGAAGAGAGGCCATCCAAGAAACACCTGGCGATGCAACCTCAAGGCAAACCTCACAAGGATGGGCAACACCTGAAGCCAACTAGAAAAAATGGCCCAGGACAAAAGTCTCTGGAGATCTACCTTTGGCGGCCCATACCCCGGGAGAGGTGGATGGCATAAGTTATTCTGCATTGCTTTCAAATTTTATAAAGAGGGACACTTAACAACAAATCAAATAACTGTTAAATAATTGTTAAATTAGCAATAGGTTTATAAAGGACCATGCTCGAAAGGGCTTACAATATAAAGGATGTACATATATGACTGAAAGATCCTTTCATATACTAAAGGTAGGGATGAGTTTTTCTAAAAAATATTTACATATACTTCATTTAAAAAAAATAATTTCCTTTCAAAACTCGATGAAATAATAATTATATTTAAAATAGTTTTGAGGTGACAGTTATCATTTAAATTATAACAATGTTCTGATTATTCATGACCTCTAAACAGATGTAATATGCAAATGTGTATAATTATTTGAAATTGCCTTTGTTAAACTATTATTTTACTAGTGCAGTCAAAGTTCTTATTTCGTATTAGCATATCTCTATGTAATTTTCAGTGTAATTACTGTTTCAATTAGAGTGCATTCAGTTCGATTCCCACAGACAATATGCAAAATAATGGCATGGTTACCTATACCAAGAATCGAAGTTTAAACAGTCAGACTGCTTAAATAGCTGACATTAAAACTGAGATGGGAAAATTCTCCAAATAAACTATTGCTGCCAAAATGTTGTATTTTGGTTTCCAGATTAGTATGTTCGGTAAACAAACCCTATAGATTTGCAGCTGCCACCATTCCAATAAATACATAGATCCTCAATATTATTTTGTTGAAAGTACTTTTTAACAATCAGTGTTTTTGATAAATATGTGTGTTTTATAGTGGAGCGTTGCACTTAAATCTGAAATATGAAGCTCACAAATAAACCTCTTTATAAATGATTCAATAAAATATACTTGTATGTATCTTGGAAATTACATAGAATAATGGCTGTAGCTTGCTTTAGCACCGCAAACGTCTCTGTTACTTTTTTTGTGCCCATTAACTTATTATACTTTTTCAGATATGTTACATTAGGGATGTTGAAACACAAGCTGTTACCACAGCAAGGTGCCAGAACACTGAACCTAATTGCCATGCTATCAGCAGTATGCCTACAATCTAGATGCATGTTCCATATAAATTTTATATATCCAGCAAAGGTACCTCATGTTATTTATGTTTATTATGATTTCTTTTTATAGCTCTGTGCAGTCATTCTGATTGCCATAACAGTAACGTGAACTCCTACAAATGAGAATCTGGAATCTGCACTGACACTGAATGAAATGTTCTTATATTTCTCACACCACTTGTTGTTTTTAAAGCATATAATATAAATTATAATGAATATGTATAAGATACTGTCTCTGTACAGTCAATAATGATGCGATAATGGGGGTCAGCAGCAGATATATTTATAATCATATATTATTTAAATACAGTCATCCCATTCCACATTCCACAAGCCTGAATGATATTACCTACAGTATCAAATGGGGTCTATTTGTTTACATTTAGGTGTAAGCAGTTGGAGTAGACTGACATCAATTACCTGTACTTCAGATATTTGAAAAAGTCTATCATGCCCCATGTATTCATTATCTACTTTAGCTTGTAAATGTATATTGGTTACAGTCTCTCGTGGATTGTTTTATTGTATACACTTTGCACAATTCTAGTAGCCATTCAATTCATTTTCTGTAGAATATTTAAAGCTATACTGTCAATTCTGAGTTTTTCATAAAGATTGGCGCTGTTTTTTGCAGACAATGATGGGTAAAGTTATATTGCCTATGTCATTTTTGGTATTGGAAATTTTTTGTTTTGTATGTTTGTTTGTTTTTGTAGACCTCCTGTTTTGCAGACCACCTGTTTTTGTTCTTTTTTATTTTACTTTAAATTAAAGTAATAATGTTATGAATACATATATGCATTTATAATGTTAGTGTATTCCTGGAGGATTTAGATTGCTGCTACCTCCCCTTACAAATAAACACAGTTTTGGAACTAAAGTAGAGAGTGCCCTGGTACAAGAAGTTTTTGGGCCCCTTATTGCATTTCTGTATAAAGGCTGGTGACATCACATGTGATTAAAAGATAGTCTTCATTCAATTTAAACTTATTTAAAATACTTAAAAGGCACATAGAGTCTTGTAAAAAACATGGGCATGTTTTAACTAGAGGTTGTAGGTGAAATTCAATATATTGGGACAGGGAAGATAAAACCGAATTAATCCCAGAAACTATTGGTCGGACTGGTGGATTTTTAGGATCCTTATGAACTTTAGGCAAGATATAGATTACTGGAATCCTTGGGTGTTCTATAAACAGAAAAGAAAATTTGCTTTTATTCAGGATATTATTCTCTAAGCCCTTTTCTAAGAATTTCTTTTAAATTTTCTTATATTTCATTACAAGGGTCTTTTTTAAGTTTTCTATATGTAGTTTTGTCTTGCAATTGTCTTTTTATTTCCTGTAAATATATATATCTTTGTCTAAAATGACGACTCCTCCCCCCTTATCTGCTGGTTTAATGATAATTGAGAGGTCGTCTTTCAATAAATCTATAGTTTTCTTTTCTTTAATGGATAAAAATTCTGTCCAAATTTAGAAAGAGGCTTTAAGTTATAAATATCCTCCAAACAGACCCGTTTAAAGACTTTTATGTTATCTGATTTAAAAAAAAAAGGATACAAATTAGATCTCTTCTTTAGATTAAAATGAATAATGTCAGGGGATTCATTATTAAATTCATTATCCAATATAGGGTTATATTCATCCTGCTTTTTCTTTAAAAAAAAATTTAAGGGATAATTTTCTGGTATATCAGTTTACATCTAAAAATGTTTCAAACTTATTAACTGGGCAAGTAGGTGCAAATTTAAAACTTTTTGTTAAAACTTTAACATCGGTTGGTGATAAAACTTTTTTGGATAAATTAAAAATGTTTATATCATTACTCTCTGCTTTCTTCTCTCTGATATAAGTTCTCCCTCCTTGTTTTCTTCTTCTAATCTTCTGTATCTTTTCCCTGGGGTTTCCCTTGTTGGATTTTCCCACCTTACTCTTCGGCCTAAAAAAAACTTTTTTCAATGGAATACACAGGGAATTTCTTTTAGGAAGAAATGGTTGTCTATTGGAATTTTTTTTCTTTCCTCTGTAGAGACTCTATTCTGAATTCTGCGTTTTTTTGGGGTGATACATTCATCCCATTGAAAATGATAAGTTCTCTGTATTAGTCTCATATCCTCTCTTTTTGTTTGGAATGATCTCCTATAGATACTTACTTTAGGAGATGTCTTTTCCCTTGATACTCTTTTATTCTCTTGGGTTTTAGCCAAGTGCCTGTTAGGGAATTCTTCCTTCTTCTTGTAATTGTTAGGTGCTTTTCTCACTCCATTATTACATGATCATGTAGGTCCCTTTGAAATTTCCTCTTTTTGTTTGCATCTAGAGAATTTTCAATTTTTTCTATATTATTTTTTACCTTTTCTCATAAGCTCTCAAAATGTTTGGTCCCTACAAAGGGTTCAAGCTTGATTTTAATTTCTTTAATAATTTTGTCTATTTCGACCAAATTTTCTTTTCTCTCATTTATGATTATATTTATCATAGTAATCGAGAAAGATTCTAAAGCAAAAGTCCATATTTTAAAAAAACTTTCTTTTTCTCTTTGACATTTTGTAAACCTTAACCCTCTTAAGGTAATTTCTCTTCCAATATATTTTTGAGGGTTCAGATTTCCTATCTAATTTTTACCTCTCTGATTAAAAGTTTTTCTAATTAAGACATCATCTCATCTACATTATCACTTAAAATCATAAATGGTTCCGCTTAAAAATCTTCCTTTCCAAATTCTTCTGATGCAAATTTGCACCAGTTCTGCCTTTGTTTGAATAAAGGCATTATTACCTTAGCAGCCCAAACTATAAAGTGATAACATATCACGTTTCACATTGCGACATTCAGACGAGGTCGACCCAACAAGGAATTTGAACCTGGGTACTTTGCAGTTCTGGGTCTGCTGTTTTGCCTCTGAGCCACCATACAACTCTAGGATAAGCATGAAGTCTAATCGTGCCTTGTATCTAGTACTGGGGGCTGGACGTTTTCTGTGGATGCTCCAATATTCTCAGCACACCAGAGGGCAGTGTCAGGTCATTGACTCTGGTTCCCGTATTGCTGTTTGTGTTCTAGTGTTCTCTGGTTGGCTCCTGACCTTGGCTTGTTACTCCTTGTTTCCTGACTTCTGGCATCCTCTGACCTTGGCGTTCTACCCATTTATCCTGACCTCTGGCACCCTGTGACCTTTGACTTACCCACGACGATTCTCCTGCTTATGTCCGTATCTGTACTGCGACTTGGAGCATTATCCAGCACAGACTCACAGGCCAGGTGAGTTCTTTACAAAACTAGTGAAAATAGGTGTAATAGATATAATGAAAAGGGCAGCTACATACACCAATAAGCGTCTTAAGTGAGTGAAAGCTCATAGGTCAAAAAAGGTTATGTGTGCTCCTCAATGTAACAACATAAAAATAAAACGATGAAAAATAAAAAGAACACATTTATTGATATATAAAACCATGCATATATGAGTTTATAAAAGTAATAAGGAACAA